AGACAGAAGTGTGGACATATCTAGGCAGTGTTTCCCTGTCAGGGAACAGTGAATATATTGGTGGATGACGGGACTGATTGCTCCCTGCTGAGAGAGAGATGAAAGTTGAAATCGTGTTTGTCATCATCAGGATTCAAACCACTCACAGATTACCCAGAATCACTTGCCCTCAGGCCCTCACTGAACCTGTGACACACGATTAGTCTCTTGCTGAGAGGGGTCTGGCTCGGGAGCAGCCATTACCGGGATTATCACCTTGAAAAATGTGTAGATTTACAGATTGGCAAATATTGGGGTTGCAAACAGGTTGTAATGAGTTGATGTTGGTGTAGACCGGATTACTCCGTGCTGCTGGGCTGATCAGTGTGTGTTGCTGCTGGGAGGAGGGGATGATGTTGGGAAGTTGTAGCAGTAAATACATCCTTTGGTATTAATTACACACGATGGGCGGTGCATTGTGGGAACTGTTGTGTCATTGATGTAGGCCATGGTGTCTCCTGACATGATATTGTCTTATGTAAGTCACTCTCTCACTCAGTCACTCACTGTCATTGAATTGGTAGACTGAAATAGGCATGAGAGCATATTGCTTTCTCTCTCTCGCTCACTCCCTATCTTTTTTTCTTTCTCTTTCCCTATCTCTCTACCCCTCTCTCTGTTTCTTTCTCCCTCCTTCCCTCCCTCTCTCTCTCACTTCCTGCTCCCTTATAACTCCCTCCTACTCCTTCCTTCTCTCTCTCTCTTCATATTTTACTGAAATGGTGATGCTTAAATATATTTCTCTTTCATCATTTTCATCCACACACTTTTTTGCTAACTCTATCTGACTCATTCACTCACTAACCATGTATATTGACCAAGAAACTATATGTCCGTGTTCAAGAAGCTGTTCCATTCCTGTCAGTGGTAAACTGATGGCCACTCATGGTATACCACGGTGTGTCCCCAATATTGTCACATAACATGTTCTCTTAAATACAGTCTGATTAAATGAAGAGTATTGATTGCCTCCAAACTTTTCTACACTCAATAGTCTCGCCTCTTGAGTGTAGTTCCAGTTAATGTTCTCACTATGTCACTTAGAAATGACTTGTCGAAAAGACTGAGAATTAATTTGTCACCAATAAAGGATTAGCCACGAACTCCCATTCTTGATGTGTCGCTGCCATTGGTCCAACTGTTGGAGAATCTATTCAGCATGTGGACCACCATGAGATGCCATCCTTCCTGGAAGTGTCTCATCCATTACCACACAGTCATCTGTTAATAGGTACTCATGTGGTATAACTATATACAGTTTACCAAAACTAGATTCCTGGAAATTGTAGAAGCCAGTGATTGGATGACAGGTGCTGACAGATGTCTACCATCGGACAGGTTCTCAGCCATCTTACTTCCACTTGTGACAGCTCTCTCAACTTGCTGCAGAGTCTTACATGAAAGCTGTCAGCCTCAATTATGTTAGGAAGTGCTACCTTTCATAGCTAGTGGGAAAGAAATTACACTTTCTCCAAGGTGGTTAAACTAGCTTGGTTCTGTCCTATACTGAATGATGTGTGATCTCTGTGACTGGTAAGGAACTGTTTAGACAGGAACAAAACCCTATAGGACTGACGTAATGAAGTAAGGACTGGCTCTATCCCAGTATAATAATCTAGTGTGAGGAAAATAAAATATTTGGCTTTATCAGTGTTTTGGTCTGACAAAAATTACATGGTGAAATAGCAACACAATGCAAAAATATTAATTGAAATGACAACATCACACAAGCCCCTGTCAACCTGCCTAGAATCCAGTTAAGGTGTGCATTTTTCTTGTTTCAAGTTCAAATTTTTTTTTTTTAATAATTACTTAATTTTCACATCTTCACTTAGTGGTCAAAGACACTTCTGCGTCCAGTGTTGTGTCCCTTTGCCATGCCAGGATCTGCTGATCAATGGTTCTAATCTCAGATTTACCCTGATTATTATCCTTGGAATGTCTGCTCCGTACCCGTGCTGGTGGTTGTTATCAAAGTGGTAAACAACCTTTAATCACTTATAGGGTTTTCCTTCCACACATAGCTGACATACAGTGATATGACTGACATTCTGTTCAAGCAACATAAGACCCGTGAAGATCCGGGGTAGATAGGTCTTCAGCAACCCATCCTTGCTGTAAAAGGTGACTAACGGGATCGGGTGGTCAGGCTTGCTGACTTGGTTGACGCATGTCATCGCATCCCATTTGCGTGGATCGATGCTCATGATGTCAATGGCTGGAGTGTCTGGTCCAGACTCATTTATTTACAGACCGCTGTCATATAGCTGGAATATTGCTGAGTGCGACATTAAACAACAAACAAACAAACAATCAAGCAACATAATGTGCTCAGTTCCACCTAAATCCCACTTGAATCCCACTTGAATCCCACTTGAATCCCACATGAATCCCCCCCACACAGTTGGAAGGATGAACATCCATGAAACACACAGGACACCCTTGTGTCATTAAATCACTTCTGAAAGGTACCATAGTCACTGTATTACGCGTCCCACTCCAATAAATGCCCCTGACTAAGCGCCTGGGGCACTTATAATGGTAAATATGGTATATGAAGAAGGCTGGAGAAGATGCATTGTGATTGGATAAGCAAGGCACAAACACATGTTATTGTAAGATCTCAGTGACTGTTGCTGCTCTTGTGTGGTCACAGTATATTGTTGTTGCTGCCATCGCCCTTAGTCATCTTCTGCAGCAGCGCTGTTTGATATCTATTTCGGTAACACTTTTGTTTTCAGTACTTTGAAAACTGATATCTGTTTTCAGATTTGATCATTGTGAACAACTAACATGTTTTCTGTGTTTGCAACCTCATGTCGTGAGTCCATATTTCATTTTCTGTGGAAATGTCAAATGTACTTCATCAGATTTTTAACCAAAGATAAAAAATAGTTCTTTGGAAACAAAAGTTATCTTTAAGTTTTATTGTGGACATTATGGTCATTAATGACTCCGTTGTCTAAAGATCAGAAAATGTTAAACAGTCATCACAGCAACTGAAAGATAAGAGTCACAAGATATTAAAAAATATTCAAATATTTTTTGGTTTGAAAAATAAATAAGTACCTAAGTAAGTAGATATGTAATATCTTATGTTATCTGATATCATTTGTAGATATTTTGCACTGAAATAGGCAACTCCAAACACAGGTTGTAAGAGTGATTCATCCAAGTATTCTTAAGAAGTTGGAAGTGATTTCATGGATCTCAACTTTTTGACAAGGGCTTCGTTTTGGTGTTTGAAATATTCACATGACATGACTGAGTGGATTGGATGGCATTCAGTGTGTGCAAAGAAAGGCTGTGCTGACATGATTCCTAAAGTGGCATTACTCACTGGCCCCTTTATACATGAGAAATCAGCGCCATTATTCCTGACAATGAGTAATGAAAGATTTACCTTGTTATGTAGCACAGAAGAGGCTGGGTATTATCAGGAGAATGTTTCTAATTTCAGTATCTCAGTACTTCCTTTATTTTGGGCCTAAGGCATGTCATATTTATGTGTACATATTTCAAAAGTTACAAGCACAATATCTGAAGCCGTCGCTGCCCCACAGGTGTGTACCCTTCATCTGTGATGAATCTCCTTCACAACAATCATTTTCAGGAGGCGGATGGGTTGAGAATATGGGCAAGATGTCAGATGTACTCTGCCGACTTAATCCTAACTTGAGGACAAGAATTTGTTCCAATCTGTTCCAATCTGACCAGTGCCACAGACTCGCCAGGGGTAGAGGTCCTGTAATCCTCATATGTCTTCTTAAGAGATCTCTAACCAATAAATTCATTTTTAGGCAAGTACTTCGGATTTGGGCATTGTCTGGCTGAGTTGTAATATTAAATGACATTTTTCACGAGCAGGAACTCACAGCTGATTAAACAATGCCTTTGGTCTGGTTTTGAGCACGTAGAAGCAAATTGTCTGTCTCTCGTCTGCGTATTTCATCTTGGATTAGGATGATTTCTTTCATAAGTTAGTTGCCTCTGTCAACTTACAGTCTCATTGGGACACATGTCACATACGCTTGTGGCGGACAATTTCATGCTACGTGTGTTGCCGTTCTACTGACTTAGCTCTCTGTGTGAAGAGCAACCTAGGAGTCGTCAGCAGGTTAGATATTACAGAGAATGTACGACAATCACGCTGTCAAACTTTGTTTGAGTTAATAGAGAAGTTGTCAGAATGAGTCTTTTCTTTACAACTTGAACCAGATTTGAAGTTCTGAAAGTTTGGACATGTTTTCCAGAAAGCTAATGGTGAAATAAAATATGAAAAATAAAAAACTTTCACGTGCAAGGTCAGAGTATCATCATTTTCAAATTTTTCATGGCAGCTATGCTAAGATGTGGCATATGTGACCCAGTGTTATGTTATAGGATGGTAAACAAAATGGCATTCCCCAAACATGTATTGACTATAAATAGATTTGTAACAATAGATCACGAAAAGAACCTGTTTCTACATGAAAAGATATTGCAGTGTACAGATAACCAGGAATCAGTCTATCAGAAAGGGGCTGTAGTGATGCTCATGACACAGCCACTATCCTCTCAGCAGCATTCTTATCAATGGAATATGTCTATGATGTCTGTGATCGGATTCAAAGACTTGCAACTGTTTTGCACAAACTGCTGTCAGAACTCCAGATAATGATGTGTGTACAGTGTACACTGAACTGTACAGTGGTGTACAGCAATAAATGAGGAGGGTATAAACACCTTCAAATCTGAAAACACTTCTTCCTTTCTTTAACTTGAACTAGGGGTGGTGAGGTAGCCTAGTGGTCAAAGTGTTCGCTCGTCAGGCCGAAGACCCGGGTTCAGTCCCCCAAAATGGTTACAATGTGTGAAGCCCATTTCTTGTGTCCCTGTCTTGATATTGCTGGGACATTGCTGAAAGTAGCATTAAACCCAACTCACTCACTCATTTTAACTTGAACTGGTTTGTTTTCCAGCCACAAGAATCAGACATCATCATGGCTGCCACCGCGGGACAACTGGGATGCGAGTACGGGGCTGCCGTACGGCTGGGAAACCGGCGTGGACAGGAACGACAAGCCATATTACATCAAGTAAGACTCAACAGCACACAGTACTCTCTTTTGTTGCTCACTAGCAGAATATGTATCTGACACATAATATGAGGGAAAATATGTGGCAATCTATCCTGTGTTAAGGCTTCTTTGAGTGGCATTTAGAAGTTGGAGTGATAAAGTAAGACGAGTTCTATGGATGAACAACTTCTTTATTACAATTGGTGCGACGTTTCGGTGTAGATCCTAACACCTTTATCAAGCAAGTGATGATTTAGAAGTTGGAGTGATAAAGTAAGACGAGTTCTATGGATGAACAACTTCTTTATTACAATTGGTGCGACGTTTCGGTGTAGATCCTAACACCTTTATCAAGCAAGTGATGATTTAGAAGTTGGAGTGATAAAGATGACTTGCTTGATAAAGGTGTTAGGATCTACACCGAAACGTCGCACCAATTGTAATAAAGAAGTTGTTCATCCATAGAACTCGTCTTACTCTGTGTTAAGGCATCTGAAAAAGAGGAGTACCACTGATATGGACTATAAACATTATTTTGTCCTGAGAAATATGAGCTGGTTTTGTTTATATTCCCATTTGAGCTATCATTGATTTCTTGGAGGATGAAATACTCCTTAACCAATTTTCAAATGAAATACGTTATGTATTCTTGATAGACTTCTTTTAAATAATTATGTGATATGCGATAGACATGTACCTAAGTCACAATACTCATACAATTTAAGGACAGGATTACAAATGATATACTTTAGAGATTATGACGAAATCAATATACTTTAGTTAAGTTACTTTGTAGATGTGATACTTTGGAAAAAATGTCCCAACAAACAGGATAAAAATGTGAATTGCTAAATATCAGAAGTTTTGTATATCTAAGTGATGGATTTTTCCACAGTCTCAAATAACATGGATGTGTTATCTTCCTACAAATATCTTGTAAGGACGTTGATTCTGATGTACCGTATTCAACGTAATAAGCCCCCATGGCGATATTTTCTAATATATTGGCTAGTGAACAATCCCAATTAGCACCCCTTCGGATTGATCAATGTACACAAGACTTAATTATTCGTGTATAATATGCACTTGTGTGTTATATGCACCCTTTATTATGAGCAATTGAATTCTGGAAAAATATATCTGTTGTATGTAACATTTCAGCCTGTCAGCATAAACCACAACATTTACAATCTTTCAACTCTGTTTTTTTTTCCACCAAAATAATATTCTAATAAAAGCCCCTTATTTCTAATTTTGAGAGCGCCCTGGGCACGTATTTTGTCGAATACGGTATTTAATTCCCTTGAATGGTATGATCTGCTGTTGATGAACACACTACTACTAGTGCTAGATGAACACAGTGAGTGTGTGATTTGGGTTTTCTGCCACTTGGAACAGTATTCCTGTTATAGCATGACATGTCAGGGTAATGTGGGAGGTAAACCCAAAGTGAAGCAGGTCTCAGACGTTTCCTCTTTGTGCTGACAAACAAATGACCATGATCATTGCAAATCTGAGACCCAAAACCACGATCATAGAATGATGTCCCCTGTAACACAACAGACCCCTGTAGCACTACAACAACTGGGCCCCTGTAGCACTACAACAACTGGGCCCCTGTAGCACTACAACAACTGGGCCCCTGTAGCACTACAACAACTGGGCCCCTGTAGCACTACAACAACTGGGGCCCTGTAGCACTACAACAACTGGGCCCCTGTAGCACTACAACAACTGGGGCCCTGTAGTACTACAACAACTACAGAACTACAGGTCAGACAACTAGGCCCCTGTAGCACTACAACAACTGGGCCCCTGTAGCACTACAACAACTGGGCCCCTGTAGCACTACAACAACTGGGGCCCTGTAGCACTACAACAACTGGAGCCCTGTAGCACTACAACAACTGGGCCCCTGTAGCACTACAACAACTGGGCCCCTGTAGTACTACAACAACTGGGCCCCTGTAGCACTACAACAACTGGGGCCCTGTAGTACTACAACAACTACAGAACTACAGGTCAGACAACTAGGCCCCTGTAGCACTACAACAACTGGGCCCCTGTAGCACTACAACAACTGGGGCCCTGTAGCACTACAACAACTGAGCCCCTGTAGCACTACAACAACTAGGCCCCTGTAGCACTACAACAACTGAGCCCCTGTAGCACTACAACAACTGGGCCCCTGTAGCACTACAACAACTGGGCCCCTGTAGCACTACAACAACTACAGAACTACAGGTCAGACAACTAGGCCCCTGTAGCACTACAGGTCAGACAACTGGCCCCTGTAGCACTACAACAACTGGGCCCCTGTAGCACTACAGAACTACAGGTCAGACAACTAGGCCCCTGTAGCACTACAGGTCAGACAACTGGCCCCTGTAATCAGACAACTGGGCCCCCTGTAGCATGACACATCAGAAAACTGCGCCACCTGTCCCCCTGTAGCAGACTACGACTGATGATCAGGTTTTTTGGTTCCTGTAAAATTATTGAAAAAGTAATCTCCATATAGACTAATGATCTAATTATGTTCCACCATAGACAGAACAAAACTGCATTTATTGGAAAATCAATTCTAATAATTTGATTTTCCAGTGCATGACGTTTCTTAGAAAACATTCACCTAAATGGAGAAAAGTTCTATCTTCATAGAAGGCAAAACTGGACATCTCAATTACCAATGTATTTTTTTCAATTTCATTAATAATAGCATTATCGTACGACACCCACAAGCAAAAAGATTCATTGGTTCAATGTTCATAGCCGGGAGATGAAAAATCGCAGGCGTACACCACGGATATCTTTTCATACCATTCCGAAGGGATGAGGGATACATTTAGAAATACAGTAAGGTTAAAGAATTGTAATCAACTCTCCGCCTTGACAGGTGATTGACGGTTACAGATTGATATCGATCAGCAAGAGGCAGAGATCACACTGATATTGGGGCAAGAAGTAGGCTCGATCATGCTGAAGATTTTGCTGCTGGATCTCGGAGGTCATATGGGCAATTCCTATATTCCATGAACTGCGTTATTTCTGTAATGCTTCATTCTTGTACAGAGCACATGTCTTCTAGTTCCGACAGTCTTATATTCATAAAAAGCATGATCTGACAAACCCCAGCTGATACGAATTCCGTTTAAAACCTCCCTGGTCTTTTTTTCGGCATCAAACTGCCACCCATCTGTCTTTTACATTTCGACTTCATCCTTGAAGTTGCTGAAATATTATCCTGAAATTTTAATCGGTTGTCAAGCACCAGAATAACAGTCTGATGTTTAAGGCAGCGTCTTGTGCGATTTGGTTGAAAATGAAAACCAATTTTAATTGTGAATTTTTGTGTTTTTAACAATCTTCTCAAACAGCCCAACTCCCAGCCAGTTGACACTGTGGAACATTTTCATCATGATGGGGTGCAGATTTATTCATGCCGGTCAAATGAAACGAATAATATTAAATAAAAATATAAATATTTCAAACTTTGAAGACCGCCTCCGTGGCCTTGTGGATAGAGTTTGCCTGAAGAGCAGAAGGTTGGTGCAACCTTGTCATATTCAAAGGTGTTCAAATGGTACATGTTGTTTTCCTGCCTGGTGCTGGCATTAAGGGGCTTAAACAAAGACTGATTGGCTTGGATTCAGTATACTGTGCCTGAGTAAGGTCACCCATGTTAAATTGCAGCATGGTTTGTTTTGTTAAAATTCACACTCAGCAATATTCCAGCTATATGATGGTAGTCTGTAAATAATCGAGTATGCACCAGATAATTCAGTGATTGACATCATGTGCATCGATCTACGGAACTGGGATATGATGACATGCATCGACCGAGTTAGCAAGCCTGACCTGATCCCATTAGTTGCCTCTTACTGTGGTATGGTACCTCAGGGGGCTAGCTGTATTAAACCAGTATAAGTCGGGACAAGTCTCAAACTTAAAAATGCGTAAGAATTTTCATCTCAGAAAACACAAGGTTCAAGGAGATGAAGTATGACCATAAAGTATCTTAGCATAATTAAGTAATAAGTTTTTCAGGTGAATAATTTACCTGCCTTTGCATGTGTTTGTGATGGATGCCATCTTCTCACAAACACCTTTTATCATCACATTTGATAGTGATTCATAAGCACATGCTTTAATATGATACAGTTAGAATCATACTATGGACTTTGACTGCCTCTGTGATCTATGGGTAGAGCGTCTGCCCGAAGAACAGAAGGTCTGGTGTTTGATCCTCAGACGTGTCATACCCAAATACGTTACAAGATGAACTAGTACAGGCAGACACACACACGTACACACAGAAACACACAAACATGCATGCACGTCACTATATAAGTAAAATAATCTTGAATGTGACATTAAACCCAAGTTCACCTCATCTCACCTCTGTTGTTATCAGAGATTTTTTGTGATAATGAAAAGGGTTTTGTCACTTCACTATTATTAATAACAAGTCCATTTGCTTTTTTTAAAAATTGGTTCTGAATATCCTATTCATTGCACCACTCAAATTGCGGCAAGTCTATGTAAAACAATACAGACGTATTACATCGGCCATTGTTCTTGATATTGTCCAAAATAATTGAAATATGTAAATTATTCTTATTTAACATGTAGATTCTCTTTTGATAATAAGGATGCCTCATACTGACAGGAAATGTGTGCACACATCTTTTCATATCCTGACCCTCATGGGATGTTGGAAGGTTGAGCTCTGTTATATACTACACAAAAGAAGTTAAGAACACCCAAACTTTTCATATGAATATAGTTAATCTATCATGGCTGGTGGGTATTGCAACACACAGTCTTCCAATTGTGGGTGTTCTTTTACTTGATTTGAGTGCAAAAATTAACCTATAAAAAATTGGTTCTGAATTTCCTCATAGTTCGTCTAGGGGCGGTCGGGCTGCCTAGCAGTTAAAGCGTTCGCTCGTCAAGCTGAAGACCCGGGCTCGATTCCTGACGTGGGTACAATGTGTGAAGCCCATTTCTGGTGTCCC